AAGGCACTAAATCAACTGCCCACTACATTTCACCAATCAGGAAGGAGCATCTTCCGAGTTTTGCAAATGGAATCCCTAGAAGGAACTTTTCTATAACCCCAGATGTGCAGGTGTGATAAGAACAATAATGCAATATGTTCTTGAAAATGGGGACAAACTAACTGTGGAGAGATAATCAACTTTACATCTGTATAGCATCGATAATAGTTGTAGAAGGATTCTTCTTTATATCTGTAAAACCAAGAACTGTAGAAAGAGAATCTTCTTTCTGTATGTATAACCATAACGTACAGCGTGGACTCTATCCTGTACATATATATAACCATCTGTATAACTTGTAACATATGCTTGAGATTAGGGACCAGTGGTTCCAAAAAATTGGTAAGGTTAACAAATCTTCCATTTACTTTTCCTTGTATAATTTATAAAACAAATTAAAAGTAATTTAAATTAAAATTAATGTATATGTATTTTATGGCTTTGGGAAAGAAAGGGGAAATAATCGTCTGGCCAATAGCGAAAGGGTGCATGAGACGATAAAGGTTGAGAACCAATGCTCTAAGCAGATATCCCTTGCCTTACTTCGCTTAAATCTATTAACCAACCAGCTTGCTAAAAGGTATACTGAATTATATTTTCGTTTACATTCTTTTGCGATTTTTGCCTAGAACAGTTGAATTTACGTAAAATTAGCTCGCTTTGTATTCCTAGTCGAGAGACGCTCATCATGAAAAACTGCGAGCAGAAGCAAATCTCGTCTTTTCTTAATCACTGCCAATCTTATGCACGAAAACGTCATCTTACTTATTTTGAATAAATTGGTGCTTCAAATATAATAACCCACACGAGTGATCATATTTCTCGAATAAGATATTTCCATAGCTAACACACAAAAAAGCCTCGCTGGTGAAACGTCACTAGTACTCAGCTGACAGTATAGTACCAATTTAAAATTACGTCTGCACTGTTATTTAAAAAAATATTGAAATTACGTTTAAATGAAAATAAATTTAAAGTTTTTAATAAAATTTATATTTAAAACTTTTATTTAAAACTCACAAAATCATTAATGAACTAAAAAGAGTTAATTTTTAGATGTTAGAATTTAAAACCTCATGTAAAAGAATATAATATTACGTACCACAAAGAAATTAACTTTTAAAATGAAATATACTGAAAGAAATGCATATACCTTTTGAAATGGAAAAATTAAAAATGACGCGGTAGATTTCACTGCAAATATTTTAAACGTTAATCAGTCTTGTTGTTTTTGAAATACAGAATCAAGAAAAATAGGGTGCCATCATAAACTTGAAATTAAAGAGCGAATATTTTCACTTCTGTTTCATTTCGTAACATACTTTTTTTTAAATGTAGAAAATCGCCTACTTAATATCTTTTTGTTATTCTTGTTTTCAAAGAGGGTGAAGATTTTGTTTTATTATTTGTGAAAATTTTAAAACTTTGTGACCGACAATTTCAGAATAATAAACTTCAAACAGTCGAAAAAAAATGGAACGATTTTCAAAATTCGTCAAAAAGTCAGAAATTAAGCTAAAACTTTCATACAAATTTCATTTAAAACAATTTTTTTCCCCGCTCTATCCGATAGTGCGAACAGTAAATTTCTGACATTTTTAGTTTGCTCGTCAAACGAAGATATAAACGAAAAACTGCTTCGGTATTAGATTAAAATATAATATTGTTTAGAATATATATATATATATATATATATATATTATAATGTTGTATGATCTTAAATTCATACGTGACATAATAAATATATAAACAAAATTATAGTTTATTAGGAATGGCCCCTTAATTTGTAGAGACATTAGGTTATTTCGGAAGGAAGAGAGATTGAAAAATTAGCAACGCCTTCGCCGGGAATCGAACCACGGACCTCTGGAATACGCGCCCAGCGTGCAAACCACCACACCACGAAGGCATGCCAAGAAGGTGAGAGAAATACCTTATAAATTCTTCATTTTTAATTCTTCATTTAAATTTAATTTCATTTTTAATTTCTTAATTTTTAATTTTCAACTTTTCTCTCTTTATTCTAAAAATAGTAATAACTATTTCTGAACTGCGTCATTTCTAGATCAATCCATATCGTATGACTTGCACAACGCTGATGACGCAGCTAATTCGGAACTTGAAAATCAAACCTTTCTCTTCCTAAGCTTCCATACTGGATAACTGCGCACTTTGCTTCTACTTCTGTTCTCGCCAAGATTCTGCTCTCCTTCTATCTGAACAAGTATCAAAAATGTAAACGCTGTTGAATTGGCACGATTAAAGGCGCCAAGTGAATTGAGGCCGCAAATGTCAATTGAAATAAAGATGAATATTTAATTTGCCTCGGCTGCCAAGTTTGCCGTTCATTACGGATTAAACTTTCTATATTATCAGTGCTTCTATAATCTATTATTTTTTTCATACATACACACACACACATATATATAAATCGAATTTTGAAAAAGTCGCATCATCGCATTGTATTGTCCTCCACAAACAATGTGCTTTGAAATTTGAACTCGGACCAACTTTTGATCTTAGCGACAAACATTATGAGCAAACTAAATGAAAGCTTACAAAAAAAAAAAAAAAAACAGTATAACATCCCCTTCAAAGTAATAATTAATTTTAAAGCTACCACACGATTACGGTATAGTCAATAAAATGAATATTCGTATTTTTAAGAACACCTGAAATGAATTTCAGGATAGGAATCATTTCTACGCATACGTCTCGACCTGCTTCCCCCAAAATGCTTTGAATCCACGTGTTAGTTCTGACATTACCATGGCTGAAGGAGAAACAGAAGAGACTGGCTGGTGAGAAACCAAGATGATGAAACATAGCGAACCGTAAATCATAACAAACATAAGATAACAGAGAAATAAAGTAGGTAAATTATAATGCTATTTGTCCCGCCATCTTTACGACGGCCGTTAACCAACACTGATTTTCGACTTAACGAAGTTTAAGCGTGTGTGTGTTCCCTTTTATTTTTGAAAGTCCTTTTTTGAAATAACAAAAAGCTAACTTCTCAAAATTTCGTCGGAAGCTATCGAGCGTGGTGCCTCCACAGGGCTTAGTAGTAAGCAAAGAAGAGGAAAAGACATTCGCGGAGGCCTTGAAGACGCGCGCTAGATGGTGTCCATGTGTGTGACGCTTCCGGTGTTTTTACTCCTCCTGCGAACGAAACGCTCTCTTCCTCGCTTACAGAGGGCGGAAAGGAGAAGAAAAAAAGAAAAGTCGGCCTCGGATTTCATCAGAATACTGAGCAGAGGCCATGCTGAACAGAATGGGAAGAGCACTTCTTAACTACTCATTTTCTACACTCAAGACGTGGGTAATAAACATGGGGTAGTTTTTCGACAACGACAAACCTACACTCTATACGGCGTAAATTGCGCTTACAGCCCATTTACCATCTTAAAGACGTCTAACTAAAATTCAATTTCGAGTGAACAATTATTTAAAGGTAAACTTCTGCGAATTCTCCAAATAAGATCGAGAAATTCGTCGAAAACATTCCTAGCACTAAGATTTTATTGTTTTAGTCATTAACAGATTTTTTTTTTTAAAACAACTTCAAAAATGAGACAGTAAAGAATGGAAAGGAAATAGTTCTTAGCTTTAGTCTAAACTTTTAAATGTACTTCCAGTAACTCATAAGGCTCAGTGATTAAGTGGATAAGACTCTAAACGCAAACAGGCGGTCGGTTTGTTTGTTATGCGTCATTAATGTTTTCATTATGTGCAATATATTTGACTGATTGTTTTACTGGCAAAGCACATGAGGGTTATCCGTCTAAGAGAATGGTAGCCTTCGTGAAGAAAGTTCTAACGGTTAAGTTATGTTATTTGAATATAGCAAAGCAAACAAGGGCTATGAGGAGGGATGCCCTCATAGAGGACTTACTAAGGGAAACTGGCTCGAATTTAAGTCACACATGGGGAAGAGCAACCATGCAGGCAGCTCTTTCCTTGAATAGAACGCAGGTCGAACTAGCAGTATTCAAAGGTTTTAACCACTCCATCACTGGTGGGACAGGAATTCCTAAAGGAAGCAAGCTCGTATTCACGTGGAGAAAGCTACGAAACCTTATACATAGCTAGCATCTTTCTTCGGCATTCCAACCGGGGTTGAGCAATGTTCAGCGGCTTTTAGCACTCCGCCGCTAGTAGGTCTAGGCTACACTTGAGTCATCATAGTAGCTTCTTGCAAAGACGTCAGTGTTATAGCTAAAAAAAAATCCAGCCCATACCATTACACTGTCAGAAATAACGACTTGGTTGTTCGAAGACATTGCTGAGGTTATTTCGTATCCCTTCTTCTCGTAAGATTCTCACTCGCTTATAATCGGGTTCCAGGGCAAATCTCCAGGAAGAGTAGACTGCACCATTCAGTTGCTTTTCAGTTATCATATTGGCTATTTTACTAAAAACATGCTTTTTTGACTTTAACGCTGAAAAGGACACAGGATCGTAATATAGGGCATACCGCTCTTTCATACGTCGTCTTCGCCGGTCACTAGTCGCAGATATTCACTTTCAGTTATTGTAATAATCAGTGTGCTTAGAGTTGACATGATCACTAGTGTAATGCGCTTAGTTAATAAAGCCATATAGTTTACATCAGCGTGGTAACCCTTGCACAACAAAGAATAGGTGTCCAGACAACTGGCCTGCTCATTTGAATTTTTTTTTTTTTTTTTTCAAAACTGAAAATTTTCAGAGCAGTCTGTAATAAGGAAAACAGTGCTATTTTTATTTAACCGCCCTCCTTCAAGTCGGAGCATTTAGAATCATCTAGTCATCTTTTTTCAGTCAATATTAATATCATTTTATCAAAAAAATAATCAGAATTATACCTCTCAAAAACTGTTTTTAATCTCTGTACGGTAAGATAAATTATTTAAGATGTGAACAGTTTGATTGAAATGTGCTTGTACCATTCGAAACATGTATTAATGAATAGAACTTACCGAAAATTTCGTCAGTTCTTCTTCTTCCATCAGACGCAGTTCCCTCTTTTTCAGGAGCAAAAGCTTTGCTCCTGTAAAAGAGGGGGATGTGTCTAATCGCCTACGAAATCACTATTACTCGTTGTTCACTATTTACACCAAAATAAGGTAACTCTTTTGACTAATTTTAAATTAATCCTCGGGTTTTTCAAAGCACCAAGACCCAATGTGAGGTGATCCAAGTTCCACAAAACTGAGAAAGAAACAGAAAAATCTATATTTAAAAAAATAATTCTCTTACATTATTATAATAATGAGCAGTTGGTACTTACAATTAGTGAAACTGTTTTGCTAATTTAGTAGTCGAAATTAGAATTAGGATGCTAGATATCTTTATTCCTGAAATAATATTAAATAATAATAATAATAATTTCCCTTCATTTAAAAGTGACGGTTTACGTTCTGGTTTTTCTTTCGTTGGAGGAAAAGTAGTTCCCGAGTGAAAAATAGTTCCTATTTCGAAATCTACTGCTTAGCTGTCCATTCAGCACTTTTTCACATAAATATAAATTGATCCTGATGTTGACTGACTCTGACCTTCATTCCTCGTGGATCAGCAAAAATGTGTAAATATTTATTAGCGGGATCTCTGAATTTAATTCACACGATTTTAGAGCAAATTTCTTGCCAGAATTCAAATTGCCATTCCTCAGCCTTCTGCCTTTCTCAAATTTTACGTGATGTCCGTTTACAAAAATTTCCCCGAGTGTCCGAATTTGGATGCAACAAGAAGATATGGTAAGTTCATTCCAGATTGTTTTATGTCATTATTAAACAATGATAGTCACCAAAGGTCATCATTGAGCTTTTCATTAACCCCTCATCAGTCACCAATAACTGTCATATAAACAAACTGTCATATAAACAAACATATTAAAATAGGATTGGATGGAATTGGATCACGGCAAAGCACACTAAGACTATCTACCTAAGAGAAGGGATAGTGCAGAGGTACGTGTACACACGATGACATAGTCAGGTGTGCGCGAAAAAATTATCAGTAATGGCAGAAAATAGCAAAGTGTTGTAATAATTTCTGACAAAAGCAAAACATTCAAAACGCTTAAATTTGTCCATGAATGAAAAGGAAAGCAACTGCGAGGATTTCCAGTGTGACCATTAACGAACGATGTTGGTTAGTTAATGGAATATGGCAAAGCACACAAGAGGAGAGGGATGGCTTTGTGGAAGACTTTCTAAAGAAACTGGCTCGCATTCATATTACGCATGGGGGAAACCAACCATGCAGCCAGTCTTCGCTTGTAATCGATCCTGGGTCGAACTCCCAGTAGTCAGTGACCTTATTCACTCGCCAGCGAGTGGGGCCCGTGATTGGGCGAAATGTATGCAAAAGCAATAACTATTAATAACTACTCCCATCCATACCGATTATGTGACACGATTCCTTGTAGGTTTGGTGTTCTTTAACAGCTGAAAGATCAAAAGGGAAAATTGTGTACTTTGAGCCAACTCCCCCACACTCACATATACAGTCTATCAAAAAAACAAAACTCTCGCCAGTTAGTCTGCAGCTGTCTGTTGCCATAGAAACGAGCCTTGACCCATTTTCCATAGAGGTGTCTTGAAGACTTATTTTCACTTTGCCCTCTTGGCACATTTAAAGATAAATTGGCAACCCTTGGTTCGCCCCCATTTGAAATGTACTAGCCCTGTTGCTACAGCGACCTCCACCCGCCAGACATTGTGGCGGAAGTTCTCCTTCTCGTAGACAGACAGTACAGATGGGGAAACGAAGTAGAATGCAAGTAAATAAACGCTCCCCACTTAGCCAAGACATAGAAATTTGGCCACTTTATTCGGGCGTTAACTTTTTCTTAAGTCTGATGTCTTTAATTGGCTAAAGTTGGCGACCGTTTGCCGAAATTGCCATATTAATTAATAGCACCAACTTCCAAAGAGCAGACTACTTACATTTTCTCCGTTCGACCATATTTTAAACGAAATTTCTCAGCATACAATACAATTTATTCAGATTTGATCGCATTTAAGAACTAAGTGCTGAAATAAACTTGAATTGAAAATGCTCTTCTTTGTATTTTAATTTTTAGATAAATTAAGTTCAGGAAAACTAAAGTGCGTGGATTTATAAGAATTCCTTTCCTTAATAAATATTGAAAGTAATTAGTTTATTCAGCTAACCTGATATTTCTCTTTTCGACATACAATTTAAAAATACGGTAAGACAATAGTAAAGCTTTCATATTTTATTCTTGGAAGACGCTAATTTAATTTTAATTAACAGTTATTAAATTAAATTCCATTGCAGAAAATATAAAAATAGTTTCACTGCTATGTGTTACGACTAATTATTATATATAAAACGAAATGAAGCCACAAGCGTACCATGTATGGCAAATGGCAGCACTCTGACTTTTTCGTTCAATCTTATATTTGATATTTCAACGCTAGGCAAAAACTTTAAAGACAGTGAAAATAGTATTTAAAGAAAAGATTTCTAAAACTGATCCTTGAGAGATTGATTCGAACTCATTGATCACGGGAAAAGGAAATTATATATAAAATATATACCCCCCCCAAAAAAAAAAGTTGAATAATGCAAAGCATTTTAATAAAATGAGAAAGCCACTCAAAAGACATCGACATATCTTTCTACACATTTTGAAAAGAGCAATGTTACCAAAATTGCATTTCGGTTTATTAAAATTTTCATCATTTCAGAAAACGCAAGGCTCCCGAATTAGCTGGCTGCATGGGCGTTTTCTTACTTTTCTCCATGTGCTATGTGAATGAGAGCCAGTTTCCCTTAAAAGATCTCCACTAAGGCATTCTCCGTTTAGGCAGATAGTGCTTTGCGATAAGCTATTGAACAAACGAACTGAAAATACAAGGAGCTGATAAATTTTAATTATAATTTGTTGCAGTGACGTCGGAAATTTTATAAGTCATCAAAATTTGCTCCATGCAAACTGCAGTATGCGGCTCCCTTCCTAATAAGCAGCAGTTTTATTTATGAAACACATACTTTAAAGTTAATGAAAATATCTTCGTGCTACGACGCTTGTTAATATGTATCAGTAACTTAATTTTTTGATAACATTCTTATGCGTATAATAATTTCAAAGTGCGTAGATCGCGTTAAATTGTTGAAGTAATAAACGAAAGACAGAAAATTCCGCTTCTGGACTTTGGAGAAACTGTTTTTAGAATAGACATTAACTTTCGAGACTTAAGACGTATCCGTTGGGAATACACTCTATTGAATGACATCACGGATGAATATAGTTACAGGTTGCAGTGGGAGAAGCAAACTATCTGATAATCGAATTTTTTGTACGTTATGAATTGATCAAATGATTTAGGGTTAGCAGTAGGTAGCCCTCTGTAGGTTAGACACAATATAGTTCTGTGTGAAAAATTAAACGATAGATTTTTTTTATGCAGAAACGTGCTAAACTGATAGCATTTTAAAACATTATTTTCAGTAGGCAATTTGAAATTTCTCTTCACCGTATACCGTCTACTGTATACCGTACACTGTTTCTTCTTGTTTAGAATAGACATTAACTTTCGAGACTTAAGACGTATCCGTTGGGAATACACTCTACCAATATATCTTATTGAATGACATCACGGATACTATAGTTACAGGTTGCCGTGGGAGAAGCAAACTATCTGATAATCGAATTTTTTGTACGTTATGAATTGATCAAATGATTTAGGGTTAGCAGTAGGTAGCCCTCTGTAGGTTAGACACAATATAGTTCTGTGTGAAAAATTAAACGATAGATTTTTTTTATGCAGAAACGTCCTAAACTGATAGCATTTTAAACATTATTTTCAGTAGGCAATTTGAAATTTCTCTTCACCGTATACCGTCTACTGTATACCGTACACTGTTTCTTCTTGTTTAGAATAGACATTAACTTTCGAGACTTAAGACGTATCCGTTGGGAATACACTCTACCAATATATCTTATTGAATGACATCACGGATGAATATAGTTACAGGTTGCAGTGGGAGAAGCAAACTATCTGATAATCGAATTTTTTGTACGTTATGAATTGATCAAATGATTTAGGGTTAGCAGTAGGTAGCCCTCTGTAGGTTAGACACAATAGTTTCTGTGTGAAAAATTAAACGATAGATTTTTTTTATGCAGAAACGTCCTAAACTGATAGCATTTTAAACATTATTTTCAGTAGGCAATTTGAAATTTCTCTTCACCGTATACCGTCTACTGTATACCGTACACTGTTTCTTCTTGTTTAGAATAGACATTAACTTTCGAGACTTAAGACGTATCCGTTGGGAATACGCTCTACCAATATATCTTATTGAATGACATCACGGATGAATATAGTTACAGGTTGCAGTGGGAGAAGCAAACTATCTGATAATCGAATTTTTTGTACGTTATGAATTGATCAAATGATTTAGGGTTAGCAGTAGGTAGCCCTCTGTAGGTTAGACACAATATAGTTCTGTGTGAAAAATTCAACGATAGATTTTTTTTATGCAGAAACGTGCTAAACTGATAGCATTTTAAACATTATTTTCAGTAGGCAATTTGAAATTTCTCTTCACCGTATACCGTCTACTGTATACCGTACACTGTTTCTTCTTGTTTAGAATAGACATTAACTTTCGAGACTTAAGACGTATCCGTTGGGAATACACTCTACCAATATATCTTATTGAATGACATCACGGATGAATATAGTTACAGGTTGCAGTGGGAGAAGCAAACTATCTGATAATCGAATTTTTTGTACGTTATGAATTGATCAAATGATTTAGGGTTAGCAGTAGGTAGCCCTCTGTAGGTTAGACACAATATAGTTCTATGTGAAAAATTAAACGATAGATTTTTTTTATGCAGAAACGTGCTAAACTGATAGCATTTTAAACATTATTTTCAGTAGGCAATTTGAAATTTCTCTTCACCGTATACCGTCTACTGTATACCGTGCACTGTTTCTTCTTGTTTTTATTCTTTTTCTAGAATTGTGTATGAATTGAGAGGGGGGGGAAATGCTGCTGTTTTACTTTTCAGAACACAACAAAATTCTAGAGTTAAAAGCCATTTTTGTTATTATAAAAAAAGATTATAACATCACTTTTTGAATTCCGTTTCCTCTTTTTTAAAATCAGTTGCCAGTTATGCAATTATAAACAGATAAAAATAGGAATTCATAAAAAATACTCGATTT